AGAGAGAGAGAGAGAGAGAGAGAGAAAGATGGGGTGGGTAGTACTGGGGCTGCAATCCAGGGCAGCTCTACCACTGAACGACACCCCCAGCACTTTTCAATTATTTTGTTTTGGCACAGGGTCTCACCAAGTTGCCCAGGTTGTTTTCCAACTTGTAAACTCTCAGCCTCAGGCTCCTGAGTTGCTGAGATCACAGGGGTGTGCCTTCATGCCACACCTACCTGGAGAATTTTGAGAGAACCCAGGCTAGAGAAAAACCTAGAATGTTCTGTTTCCACAGACTAGAGTAGTGCTGACTGAGCTAAGTGGTAAGAAGAACTCATGTGGCCTATGACTGAAAGAAAAAATCTAGAACAAATGAGTTTGTCACCAGTTAGTGGCCCTTTCTTTGCCACTTGAGGCAAGCTGCCTGGAAACCCCAACTTCCTCCTCACTCCTTGGTCTTTGAGCAGATAGTCCCTCAGTGTGGTTCAGGATGTCAGTCAACCTTATTCAAATTACAGCTTGTGAACAAAATCTCTTTTCAATGTCCTACTACATTCAAATATCCTCTAAGGGTGGCATCAGGGAAAAACCTGCAGGGCCCAGGATAGTGGGAGTGGCAAGGAAAATTCTGGAGCCAATCCTTTTTCATCTCAAAATCTCTTGAACTGTGATACTGTAAAATTCTTACTTGTTAGGGTCTACAGATCAATTAAACATGATTTATATCTTAAATTGTGCCATAATATTAAGAAATCAGCCTATTCTGTTACAACTCAAGAAATATAAACATGAATATAAGTGTGTGTGTGTTGTTTCTGGACAAATGATTTGATGGTTGAAGGATCTCTTTTGTTTTGTTTTGTTTTTTGTTTTTTAGCAACCAGGCCTTTCACATGAAGTGGGGAAAGTTAAATCATGGAAATGTCTGTCATCAATTATCACTAAGGAGCTGAACAAAACTTAATGTCTCCTGGAGTAAGTGGGGGTATTGCCCAAATTCAATCTTTCTTTTCTTTTCATGTGCCCAAATAGTCTCACAGATTCCATTCTGGGGGTAACATAGCTATAAGATTCAATGTTAGGTTTGGAATTTATCAAGACATTCAGGAAAATGGCTTAATTTCTCACAGTTGATAATCTCTTACTTGATAATTTAACATAAGCATCTTTTAATAGGCGATTGGAGAGTGGAAATAAGAATCTTAAAAATATTTTGCAAAAATAACAGAAGTTTTAAGCAATATTTTGAGTGTGGATAAAGGTTATATGTGTGTGCGTGTGTGTGTGTGTGTGTGTGTGTGTGTGTGTGTGTGTCTGTCTGTTTAAAAATACTCTGTATTGGACAAAAGAAAACTACTTTGGGGACAAATATCTCATTATCACGGAAAGAAAATTTTAATTCTATATCACATGAACTATGCACTGGAAATCTCTCTGCTCCCTAGAGGGAAATACTAGTCTGGATGCCTTCATTACTTGTACTTTAAGACACCTCAGGTTCTTTCCAGATAGGAAAGAAGGTGCATGAGCTGGAGGATTGAGGTTGCTGAGTCTAAGGGTAGCTGCCACTTGGGAAGGTGATGAGAAGTCAAGAAGATTGGATCCTGGGTATGTGATGAACATCTGACTACATAATCCACATGCAAACATTGGCAGGAATATAAAATCTTAGGCCACTGAAAATGAGACCATGTGCCTTTGAGAAAATAATCTCTGGAGAAAAATATTTTCCATTAAATCAAGGTGATGAATGCCAGTGAACTAAGATTTGATATATTTTTGGATATTAAATCTTGTCTGTAATTACCGATTATTTTTATTAGCTTATCTGTTAACTAAATATGCTACAACTTGTCATAATCCCATGGTATCATTTATTTAAAAAGGGAAGACGATCAAGCCAATGATTGCTACAATAGAAAAAAAATCAACCAAATGACTGTTTTACAAATATTCAATTATTAATTTTGTCAGCCTATATGCAAACCTATTTACCGAACATGCTTTATTCTACAATTCCTTTGTGACAGGTTTTACAGTCTTTGTTATTCTGTTTTCAAACAACAAAATGTAAGATGTCATTTCTGTCTTTCTCACTTCAGTCTCCCATCAATATATCTTTCTCTTCTCACCCACAAGCCCAATTGTGTTTAGAATGTAAAATAAATCAGGTTTTATTTTTTAAGTTGATGAGGCTTTCATAAAATACAAATCAGTAACTGAAGAAAAGAATAAGCAAGAAACTTACATGGATGCTGAATTTCCAAGGGCTTCCAGGAGCCTGGGAGTGTGGGAGTAATGTTTTTTGAAATGATTAAATGCTAGGATGTCCCCATGCATATAATAAACGATATTATTATATAAATGAATGTTCTATAGCAAAGATAAACTTTTTGTTAGCTGACCTTTGAAGAAGTGGGAACAGGATTGTGAGTCATTCAGCTTGAATGACATATAATTTCTCTTGTTCTTTAAATTATAAAAGTGATTAGAACAAAAATGACTTGAATTTTCTGTTTTCTGATGTATTAATAAAATAATATATCTGTTTTCAGTGTTATAATCTAATTATATGCAAGAAACTTCCCCAAGGATTAGAAATAGCTGCTGTATGCAATAAATAATTTGCCCTTATTTATAAAATCAAGAACATAGGACTTTTTACTTATCCCTTATTTCAAGTACAGAACTTAACTGCAGTGATCATTGGTTCAGAAAAACTTTGAATACTAGTGTGTCCAAACTAGTATTAATTTTAAAAACACAAATTCTTCACTTTATCCTTGGTTACAAGAAAGTAAAGATGGTGGAGTCCAGTAGAAATCTGTTCTCATTTAGAGGGCAAATTGAATAAGGAAATTTAAGACTCTATTATTGCTATAATGTAATGCTGAATTTGAAAAATGAAGTTGCAATGAAATAAGAAGTGTAAAGGAAGCCAGGCTCTCCTTTAGTTACTGTCTCTCAGGAAACATTAAGAATTATCATAAATATGGACACTGTGTATACATAGGTGTAGAACAGATTTCAGTAGACAGAGTGAAGAGAGTTTTCATTTCAAAATGCATCCAAGGTCAAAAACGGCATAATAAACCAACACTTTAGTTATAACTTTTCCTCAGCATTCCTTTCTCCACTTCCTTTTGTCACATTAATAATTACCCTTTGTTTTGCTGATATGATTAATCTTTATCATCTGCTTCTATAATGTGGTGCAGATCTCTGTGACTAAATCAAATGTCAGAAAAATAGGATGTAAATTGTCAGTATTATGCAAGAGAATGGAGACCCTCAAATGCGAGTGTGTGTGTGTGTGTGTGTGTGTGTGTGTGTGTGTGTGTGTGTGGATATCTCACATTTTCTTTGTCCATTCAACTATGTTAGTTCCATAGCTTATTAAAACACAACTTGGTTACTTGGGAATTTTATATCACATACAGACTCCTACAAAAACAAAATAAAACAAAATAGTATTCAGACTGGTTTCAGCTGTTTTAATTTTAACACTAGATCATTTGCGATATTTCTAGCCATCCCCCTACCTGCCTATGCTTTCCTCTTCCCTAAACTTAGTTAACAAGTCCTGATACCAGATTGGCATCAGAATTGAAAGAGTCCATTTCACGTGGTTGCAATTGCTGATGTATGAGTTGAAAAATCAGCCTACATACCATGGAATAGTTCTCAACTGTAATTGTACATAATTTTTGGAGGAAATTGTGCCAAACATCAAAAGCTCCTACTTTATTCATTTTTAAATCCCCATGCTCTCTTCTCAGAAGCATCAACATTATTCTCCTTTGCTCTCATTTCTGCTGTTGACATTTCTTGTTTAAATTTTAAGCCTACCAGGTCACCTTGAGAACTGCTCACCAGCAGAGATTTTTTTTCCCAAAGAAATTTATCCCATGGTGACAGCAAAATGCCACAATCCTCAAAGCCAAATTCTTTAAACTAAGCAAAACAAAGCAATCTCTGTGTTTTCTTTTCTTACTGTGAGCCTGATGGACTTGGTCTCCAGACACCAAACTGATTCTCCTCTGCCTTTCATCCTCTTTTTAACTACATTGCACATGTCACTAAATCGACTGCCATGAAAGACGGACAAAAGTCATGCTTCTCCCAAACTAATTTTCAAGTACTCATAGAAACTTTAGGCAAAATAATGGTTTCTTAATTCATCATCTAGATTGTGGATCACAAATCAAAAATATGCAGCAAGCCAATATACCGTATTCCCAAAATACTAGAAAATATTATGGTCATGAGAGAGAAGGAAAGTGATGCTTTATCTGTGATCTTTCTGTTCCTCCTCCTCCTCCTTTCACTGTGCTTTCTTTTCTTCCCCTTTTCCTCACCACCAAGTGGACAGCAGATGGGAGGAATGTTTCAGTGGCTGTGCACAAACATGGAGGTTACAAGAGTGCCCTAACCTATTGTCTTTGCTCTTTCATACATTCTGTATTCTTTCTGTCCAACTTCAGCCCAAACCTCTCCTGAGCCAAATGATATTCAGAGGGACTGGTTGGAACAGGTACATTGAAATTACGTGTTATATTAGGTGTTATATGTGTATCAGGGAAAAGACACGGGACTTTCTATTATGGCCCAACTCCCTGAAGGAATGATGTTACTCTATGATTAGCCAAACACAAAGCAATTACTTCTATACCAGAACAAAACAGAGTTAATAATGGCATTACAGAGAATTCAAGTGGCCTTTGAAGGGAAAATTATTTTATACAGAGGCCTCAAGAGTGTCAATAATAGGTGTTGTTAAAAGTTCAGACTCTGATGTCAGATAAATCTTGCTCTATTGTTTAATTGCTGTTTCATCTTGGGCGCATCACTGAATCTCTTTTTGTGGTACTGGGGATTGAACCCATTGCCCTGTGCATGTGAAGCAAGAACTCTTCCAATTGAGCTATGTACCCAGCACTAATTTTTTTTTAAATGAGCTACATCTTCCATATGCAAGGTGCAAATAAAAATAATATCTACTTCATAAACCTTTCATCAGGATAAAATGAGATTATGAAACCTTGCATATAGTAAGCACACAAAAAATTTTAATAAGTGTTCAATCTTCCCTCAGGTGCCTGCTCCCAAGTTATTACTCTCTTCTCCATAGAGGTTGCTATTTTTTAGGGAGATAAGTTGAATACACTGTTCATGGGTTGACCTTTTGAAAACTGTGGAACCAAAACCAGTGAGTATGTTAACTTTGTGTATAAAAGCAAATTATATAATTACTTACTGCTAAGTACTGAATTCAAGAGTGGAGGAATACAATAAAAAGCCAACTAAAACAAAAAAAAATGTTTGACATGGTGATTAGTAGAGGTAGTATATATGTGTTTTGAGAGAAAAATAAAATTTATTAATATAACTTACTACTACTTTTTGCATAAATTGAATTTTTATGAATTGTATGGAATATAAGTATTAACTTAGATTTTATTTTAAATTTTCAGCCTTGTGGCAAATAAATCATCCCCTTTCTTCATGGTCCCTAATGAAACAAAAACAAGAAAACAAAACCTAAAACTTGGAGTCAGACTCCATCTAGGTGGAGCTCTTTTCATTGTACTACTGTGTAACCATTAGGCCAACTATGAATGTTATTTCAGTTTCCTCATGTATGAACTGTAGTTCCTAAGTTTTGTAAGGGAACAAGGGTAGGACCTAAGACCAAACAGAGATGTAGAGCTAAAGAATACAATAACTGAAGGGAAAATTTCAATTGATGGGGGGGGGTCAATAGCAAACTAGATCAAGCAGAACAAAGGAGTAGTGAATTGTGATAGAGGTCACTGGAAACAATCCAATCAGATGAACAAAATAAAAAATAGTGAGGGAAGCTCAAAGGAATTATGGAACATCGTTAAATGAACTAATATATGCATTATAGAATTACCTAAAGAAGAACAGGAAGAGAAATGAGTTAACAGCTTATTTAAAGAATATGAAGGAGGTCCTGGAATTTGAAACAACATGTATCAAACTGCAAGAATGCTATGTGAAATAAGTCATACAGAGAAAAAAAAATGATCTCATAATATGTGGAATATCAAAAATACCAAATGCACAGAAGCATAGGGTAGAATGGTGATGACCAAGGGTAAAGAGGTAAGAGAAATGATACATTGATCAAAGGATGCAAAATTAAACTTATGTGGGTTATGGCTAGAGGTGATGCACAGCATGAAAGTGTAATTTCTAGTATATACACTTTATGAATCATGCAATAGGTAACCTTTAGGTAAAGTTGACTTCTATGAATATTTTTACAAAATCTACATATTAAATAATAATAACTAACAGTAACGATGAATTTTGTAGATAGCCCTATGAAATGCTCTCTACAAAAAGCATTATTTCATATTTGTTATCTTCACTATCTTAACAATGTCTTATAAATTTTACACTATCAGTCATGCTTCCTGACTTTTAAACTCCCATAAATGAAGAACTTTTTTTCCAGACCTTAGGGGAGAGGGATTTTTGCATCATTCTGTCTGTCTGTCTCTATTTTTCTCACTTTTGCTTGTTCTTGTGTGTGTGTGTGTGTGTGTGTGTGTGTGTGTGTG